ACTTCATAGAAACCGTCTGACCTCGCAGTGTTATAATTAGTTCGCTCGATGGTAGGCAGGTACTTTTTTTATTTAACCAGTCGCTGCTATTTGGTTGTGACGTACGTACGTAATGCACCGCTAACAGGGCTAACTGGTATATTAAGCTTTTCCCGAATCCTGTTGGAAGAAGAGCAATAACGTCTTTCCCCTTGATAAAATTCACCAAACATTCTCTTTGTTCCGGCTTTAAATCCTCGATCTCGGGAATCGTTGCCAACATAGAATGTATGGCTCTTCGCTGATTGGCTGGTACCCGAACTCACAATTTTGGGAGTTTTGTAAACTGTCTACTGTATTCTGATTCCTGACCTAGTCGCCGGAGAGAAATTAAATTGACTGCCTTGAAGGTGGAAAAGTGTTACATAAAAATTACGGATTGGCAGATATGCATTTTTTCTTGGTTGATGCCGATTGTTTCGAATCCAAAGGAATTGATGGCCAATAAACTCTGCCAATATTTGCAGGGCAATGTAGTGCTGATTTAGATAATTTTCGCCAAATTAGCAAATAAAAATTTAGTACAAACTCATCCACAGCCTTCTTTTACTACAAACTGTGTAGAGCATTGTTTCCCAAATACTGGGTCGCGACCTTCAGGTGGGTCGCAAAAGATTTTTTTTGAGTTGCCTTGTTACAATCTTTACATAGGTACAAATAGGTGACTTACGGATCCCTTTTATTTGCCGTTTAATTGTTTTACATAATTTAAAACTTGAGTAATACTAATTGTTCAGGCACGATCACTCAGTCAACAATGAAATATCCTCATTAATGTTCAGAAATTTATTTTGTGATTTACGAATAATGTCTATTGACTTGGGTCGCCGAGATTTGTGACTTTTAAAATATGGGTCCCCAGAAAAAAAGTTTAGGAAACACTGGTGTAGAGTCCAGTGTAGTCAGTATAGTTTTGCTGGACCATCTTTGGACTAAAATATTCAAATAAAACTTTATGCATTTATTTTTCATGCATATTTAGGCTGCTGGTTGGTCCAAACAAAATACTGGCTTCTTCTGGAGATAAAATAAGATAAAATATATCTCATCTGAACACACTAATTACAGATTACATTAACTAATAAACCAGTCAAAACTCTTAAACATGTTGTCATACTTAAATACTTTTCAGTACAGTCATCTCCAGCAGTCTTTATCACATCCTCTCCATCTGTACTGGAGCGTTGACTCTGCTTGCTCAGCTGGTTCATATTTTAAGGCCTTCCAGCGTGTTTCCAGTGAAGCCCTAATACCAGATTAACTGCGTGTGCGTCTTAACTAAGCGTGAGATGGAGGACGGAGAAGATGGAGTGTGCGATGACCTTGGGGGAGATGGTATATATGACATTGATACACAAGGAAGATAGATACAAGTAAGGAGTTTTATAAGAAGCAGTGTCGTCAAACTCGATTTCGATACTAAGGAATAGGAAAATACGCAACACCGATACCACAGTGATAATTAAAACACTCTACATTAAAGGTGCACTGTGTAACTTTTCTGGTGGAGGGTCCGTCAAATGCTTTTCTTCATGGAGATGTTATTGCTTTGTCTGAAATGTTTCGCAGTGAGATATTGAATGTTTCTATCTTCATGGAAACCAAACCAGAACAGTTTTTCTAGATATTTTGGAGCTATAAAACGCCTGCAGTTGAATAAATGTAAGGCGGAGCTGTTTAAAGTCATACTGAGGAACATTCCAGGCAGGGTCCAGAGTTAAGATCCAATATTAATTCTAAAGCTGTTCAGGAAAGCTTAATTTCTGTCCTCTGAATGTGACTTTTTGAGTATTGATACTTGCTCAGATGAGTATTTAGTTTCAGGACTAGTTTTGTTATCGGTTCGTATCTGATTTTGAACATTTTTTTTTCAGCTGTAATAGGAATAGGAATGTAACAACAACCGAAATATTGTGATTTCGTATCCTCAAAGTTCTCACTATAATATCGTGGACCATCACATAACTCTTAATTTAAATTTCTTTGCTTAAATTAAGAGTTATGGTGCAGCAATAGTTAAAAAAAAAGACGAAGGAACTACATAGACCATGATCCTTTGCGCCATTCCAGTGTAGACTACAATCTTCTTGTAGTCTAATAACAGTTCTGAGCACTTTTAAGTAGAATATTAGCCTCCACAAAATATTGCAATAAATATCGTACTGTGAGATGTATATCGTGAAAATATTGTACTTAGAGATTTGGATATTCTTACATCCCTAATCGTGAACCTCCCTTCCATATCATGAATTTTCCATGATGTCGAAATAAATATTGTACCATGAGGTTCATACCGTGACGATATCGTATCGTGAGACTTGAATATCGTTTACACCCCTAAATAAGAAGCAAAGATATTTAAATGCAATAGTTGAAGATTACTCGGTGATAACATTGCATTTGTAGTGTTGCATAAATTGATCAAAATGTTTAGTTTTTGTTCGAATACAAAATGCAGTTACATCATTTTAAGGAATTTTTCTGTCCTTCTGGTTTATTCAACTAAATGTGCGTAGGCTTCAATCAAGTTAATGCATTTGATTCATCTTTATATTTCATTATCTTGCTTTAGAAATTAGAAATGCCTTTGCTGTTTTTAGACTGGTGGCCAAAAAACTCATTACTTTATCATTGCCAGAGTTTCTTTGCTTCAAATGATGTTGTCTTTGCAAGAATGTAGCTATACTTGACTGTAGTTATTGCAATCATTAAATGCACTACCATGGAGATGTTGCTTGCCGTGGAATGTTCCACAGTATGGCATTAAACATATCTATCTCCATGAAGATAAATGATAAGTGATGTGACCAGTCCAAGTTACAAGTCATTTTGAATTATTTTACCATTTATATTTTTGTTTTTGTTTTGTTATCTTTAAGTCTAAGCCATAATCCATGTATTTCAAAGTATTTAGCAATAAAAACTCGCAGGTTTTAATGCTCACTATGCAACATTCCAGTCAGTAGCATCTCCATGGAAACAAGCAAGTGGTGAACCAAGGTGCATCCTGCGTCAAAAAAAAAATTTAAAAAAATGTTATTGTAAATTGCAAATCGCACCTTGAACTTCACAATCACATTACCTTTTTAAAATGTGTGACCAAAAGGAACAAAAACAGCACTTTCAAAATTGTCTTCAGTAAACTTCAAATTGAAAAACTTGAAAAAACCAAAACAACAGACTCACTTGACAAACTTAGTCCCTTCTGTTACTTCACAATCATCGACTTCTCTTCATAACAGAAAGTCCCTTTGTTGTTCTCTTTCTTACTACTGTCTTCCACAAGAACAGAAACTTCAGAGATCTTTTTGTCATTTGTTGTTTTGTCTCATGAAAGTCTGTTATAAAACATCCTTTTTAATATAAAATTTAAGAGCTTTCTGCAGAAGAGGCCTATGTCAACCTTGTGATTGCCCAATGCATCATTTGAACACAGTGGGTTTTTCACAGCAAAATCAATACCGCCATTTATTAAACATTTTTTCTTTCATTACCCTTTATAAATTATGCAGGATACAATTTACGCTTTTGGGAAGTTGCCATTGATTTCGGAGTCATTGCGGCTTCCCTGGAAATTTCAAAGCGAGATTAAACCTTGGTCTGTGCTTTTATACACTCTAAGGAAAGAGACAAGTTGCGTCTGTGCAAATGTGTCATGTGATGTTTGTGTTGATAGAGGGGTAGGAGAAGTAAAAGAAGAAATATTAGCATACTCTGATTTGAAGTTTAAAGGTCCTATATTACAAGAATTGACCCTTTTCAGCTTTAAGTCACGTTGTATTATTCATACTTCATCAAAAACATACCTGGAGTTGTGTTCTGTTTCATTCACACGTTTGAGTAACACTTTATTATTAGACTGTCTACATCTCCAAAGCTCAAAATGCTCTGTTCCACCTTGTGATGTCATGTAGTGGTAGTTTTCAAGGTAACAGCTCCTTTTACCTTTTGTTCAGTAAACATTGGCAACTCCAGGACAGAAATTATCAAAATTATCCAGTGTATGGAGTAGTAACAATAACTAAAATATTGTGATATTGTATCGTCAAAGTTCTCACAATAATATCGTAGACCATCACAATATATCGAATTACAAGTCTCTTTGCTTAAATTAAGAGTTATGGTGCAGGAGTAGCTAAAAAAAAAAACTGAATTAAGTACATAGACCATGATCCTTTGCTCCATTTCAGTGTAGACTACAAGAAGAAATAACAGTTCTAAGCACTTTTAAGTCTTAGTTCTTTGGATTAAATCTTGTCAAGGCATTTTAAGAGGAAAAAGTAACAAATTAACAGTTTTGTTAGCCTCCACAAAATATCGCAATAAATATCGTACCGTGATATGTATATTGTGAAAATATTGTACGGAAAGATTTGGATATCGTTACACCCCTATTCGTGAGCCTCCCCACCAGATCCATGATATCGTTATCTTGAGGTTCGTATCGTGAGTTTCATACCGTGACAGTATCGTATCGTGAGACTTTGATATCGTTACACCCCTAGTATGGAGTTTAAAAACACAAAGGAGCACTTTCTGTTTTGCCAGATGACATCGCAAGGTGGAACAGAGAGTTTTTTGTTTGAGCTCATCCTAAATATGCATAGTTTGTGTGTGAATGAAACAAAACACAACTCCAGGTATGTTTGCGATGAGGAAACAACATTATAACATAGATCAGAAAATTGTGTAATATAGGTTTTTAACATAACTTTCTCTTTGTGTATTTTTCTGTGAATCTCATATTAGTTTATGGGTCATATTTCAGTCCTGTCTTAAATGTTGAAATATTTAAAATGTGTACCTTATATTGAAACTTATTTTGAAAACATAGTACATCAAAATTGCAAGATATTTACCACAAAAATTTATTTCATTTTCTTTTCTTTTTCTTTTTTTGCTGGTATAAGACTGTGTCTGTCTTTGCTGTAACGTCCCTTTCTCTTTCTGTTTTGTCATAGTGGAAGCCGTGGTGGAGTTCGAGTATGAGGCCCAGCAGGACGACGAGCTGAGTCTGAGTGTGGGCGCCATCATCGTGAACATCCGCAAAGACGATGGCGGCTGGTGGGAGGGCGAGCTCCACGGACGCAGGGGGCTGTTTCCGGACAACTTTGTACGGGTCAGTAACCACACATATATGCACCTTTTATACGCTCACTTATGGTTAAAGGTCCTATATTACGCACAATTGACTCTTGTGAGCTTTAAGCCATGTTTGAATGTTGTTACTTCATCAAAAACAAACCTGGAGTTGTGTTTTGTTTCATTCACACATGTTTGAGTAACACTTTATTATTAGTCTGTTTATATCTCCAAAGCTCAAAATGCTTCATTCCACTTTTGCGCTAGGTTTCAACTTAACAGCTGCCTTTTACATTTTGTTCTGTAGAGACAGGTAAGTCGAGGGCTGGGACTATCCAAATGATTCTAGTGAAGGTGTATGGAGTTTTGAAACACAGTGGAGCACGTCCTGTATTGTCACATCACAAGGTGAAACAAAGAGAATAAATCAGCCTGAATATTAGTGTTATAGTCAAGACCACACTAATCGAGACCAAGACCAGTCCGAGACCACAGGGTCCTGAGACCAGGACAAGACCAAGACCCTGAGGGTTGAGACCAAGACAAGACTGAGACTTTTAAAGGTCGACACCGAGCCAAGACCGAGACCAATGCCCATCAAGACCAAATCGAGGCCATCTTTGCAATTTTCGATTTTCGATAAATCTATCTCCATTTTATCACTTGTCGAGTGTCAGACCTTGAGACCGAGATGAGATCAAGTCCTAGTGCCTTCAAGACTGAGACAAGACCAAGTCCAAACATGGTCAAGTTCGAGACAAGACCAAGTCTGCAAAAAAATCGAGGCCAAGATCGGTCTCGAGTACTACGACTCTACTAAATAGGCAGGATTTTTGTGATAAATGTTTGTGAATGAAACAAAACACAACTCAGATATGTTTGTCAGGAGCAAACAACATTATGGATCAGAAAATGTCGTAATATGGGCCCTTTAAGAGTTTTAGAGGCAGAAGTCTGAGGATTTCTGTGCGTCATTGTGGTAGACCCTAGTTACAGTGCAAGTTTTTTCCATATTTTTGAGCAATAAAAACAGCAGTTACGAACACCAACTAAGAAATAAATGCAAAACCTTTAAAAGCCCTGTAACTGATTATCACTGCTTTAAAAATGTGAAAAACAAAACTAGTTAATTCGAAACAGTTTGTAGTGGTCCAAAGTTATTCCTCACTTACTTGCATAAATTGAGAGCATCCTAATTATTCTCGGAGATGAGTTTATAAGTGCTTTTCACCACTTTCAGAGACCAGAGTGGAGTTTTGCAGTGACGATAAAACTAACAACGATGAGCATGATTTATTTTCTGTTTATCGAACAACAAAACGTTTTATAATTAGATGCAGACAGCACGCAGCAGACATATGTTGACCTCAGAGCTGCTTACACCATATATCTGTACTGGGGCAAAAACTGGGTAGAGGACCTTCACGCTACAAAAACAAGATACAGACTGGATAGACCAGGTGTTAGTAATAGTGTGACTTAAATGGGACTTCATTCGAGATGTCGGTTGATTTGAGGTTTTCTTCACAAACCAAAGGAAACAGGCCTGACCACACACACACACACACACACACACAGCAGTGCATCTGCATTAACGTCCACTGTGCCAAAATAGAAAAGTCCCTACTCGCTGTACTTACTTTTTGTGTTGCTATAACTCTGCAGCAAATGTATTTTTTACTCCATTAAAGACACTTTTTTATTATCATTTCAAGGAGCATTGTGTAACTTTTCTGGTAGAAGGTCTGCTTTTCTCCAGAGACACATGATTGCTTTATTTGTAACGTTTCACAGTCTGGTATTAAACCTTTCTATCTTCATGGAGACCAAACCAGACCAAGTTACAAGTCAGATCTGTGGAGTGGCGACCCTGCTCACAGTCAGAATGCATGTTTTCTAGGTATTTTTGAGCTATAAAACCACCTGTAATTGAATAAATGTAAGGTGTTTAATGTCATACTGTGGAACATCCCAGGCAGAGCAATGGACATATCCATAGAAACAAGCAGGTGACGGACCCCCCTAACCAAAAAGTTACACAGTGTGCCTTTAAGTAACAAAACTTTATCTAAAAAAAACAAAAAAATCAAGATTTAAACAAGACAAAATGTAATTAATACATCTTTTGGTAACACTTTATTTTATGGTACACATCTAATTAACATAGTTGTAAATGGTTTATTTGTCATTTATTAGTATTTATTCAGCCCTTATTAATGTCTAATTCCCCATAAGCTTATTCTGCTATTAGACATAGACATTTACAAACACTTTCCTGCTCTAAAAACGTTTTGGTAATAAGGGTGTTGTTAAGGACAAGAAATGTAGTTTTAACTTTTTTGCACCAAAAGCCTATTACAATCATAATTCATGGACAATAATGGCCTAGTATCATATAAATAAGCAGTAATAAGGAGTGTATTAATAGGAAAGTGTTTGTAAATGTCTAACTAATAGGAGAAGAAGCTTTTTGGGAGCTGGACATTAATAAGGGCTGAATAAATACTAATTAATGACAAATTAACCATTTACAACTATGCTAATTAGTGCATAGTTAGATGTTAATAAGTATACCCTAAAATAAAGTGTTACCCATCTTTTATAATATTTTGAGGTGCTCTATTGTGCAACTTTTCTGGTGGAGGGTCTGTCACTTGCTTGTCTATTGCAGTGTTCAAGGATAAATATGTTTCTTATAGTTAAAGTGGTCACCTCTCCAAAGATCTGACCTATAACTTGGCATAGAGACATCCCCTGTTTGTCTCCATGGAGATAGACGTGTTTAATGCCATACTGGAGAAATTATGTCATTGCTCTGCCACAGTATGACCTTAAACAGCCCTTTTTTATATATAGATTCAATTACAGGTGTTTGTATAGCTCAAAAATACCCAGAAAAATAGGCACTCTGACTGTGAGCGGGGTCACCTCTCCGCAGATATGACCTGTAACTTGGTCTGGTTTGGTCTCCGTTAAGAATAAAAGGTTTAACACCATACTATTGAAACATTCCAGACAAAGCAATAACATCTCCATGAAGAAAATCATTTGAAAAGAAAAGCAGAAATGTGACACAGTGCACCTTTCAAAAGTAGACACTAACACCTCTGAAATACAATAACTTCCTCATCTAACATTTCTATATATGTATACATTTTCTGAACAGCAGTTTTGATACACTTCTCAACCCTTTTTTTGCTTTTGCGCAAGTTAATTTAAATCTGTGGTTCGCCGGAGTCTGCATTTGTTTAATCAGAACCACATAAACATCATGACCACATTAGTCACTGTGGATGACATCATGAAAAGTCGACAGGAACTCACACTTGATCAGCCGTGTGTGTCGCAGGGACTTCCTTTTCATAAGCAACTCTAAATGCCATGACCTTCTATTGTCTATTTCCTGCTCATATCTATTTAAAGACTTTAGTTGATTATTAGACAGATGTGTTTTTCACTACTAGAAGTATCATTAAGTAGAGATGTTGATGTTTTTGCAGCTTTGCTTGAAGGTTGTAGGTTAGATTCCTGTTTGGATCTACCCCAGTTTGTGTTGAAGTCTGTACATTTCTTTAACTGAAAGTAGCTCTAATCTGGTAATTTGTTGGTTAGCCTACAGGATGCAATCAGCTCAGTGAGGTGAATTAGGAACCTTAAAAAGATAAACATGTACAAATTGAATGTTTGTGTATCCAAAAATGCTGGGGTAATTTTCACTTTTAGAATGATTGAACAAAAAGGCTCATATTGTGCTATTTTCTGATTGATGTTGCAGTGTTGTTTCCTCATCACAATCATGCCTGGAGTTGCATTTTGTTTCAATCACACATGTTTAACACACAAACCTGCATATTTAGTCTCTCAAACAGAAAACACTCTGATCCACCTTGTGTACAGGAAGTGCTCCACTGTGTTTTTAAGCTCCAAACACCTTCACTAGAATTATTTGGGTAATTTCAGCCCTGGAATTGCCAGTCTCTCTTAAACTAAAATGAAAAAGGTAGCTGTTCAACTTGAAAACTACCATTTCATGACATCACAAGGTGGAACAGAGCATTTTGAGCTTTAGAGATGTACACAGACTAATAATAAAGTTACTCAAACATGTGTGAATGCAACAAAACACAACTCCAGGTTTGTTTTTGAGAAGGTAACAACATTATAACATGGCTGAAAGTAAGTAAGTAAGTTGTTTTTTTTTATAGCACTTTTCACAGACATGTCACAAAGACTCTTTACAGATTAATTCACTCCACACTCAGTAGTGATAAAACTGACGCAGACTGATGGAAGCTGCGACTTTCTTACGAGGCAATGTGGGTGAAATGCCTTGCCTAAGGACACAACAATAGTTTTTGCCACTGGCGCCTCACTGTGGCACCTGATTTACTGATTTACCAACCAGGCCTGGCCCTGCTGAGCCTCTGAGATCTGACGGGATCAGGTTTTGCAAGTCAGTATGGCCCCAAGTCAGTTTTTTTTTTCTGTAATATAAGACCTTTAAAGCTAACATATCACAGAATCGTGGCCACATATTTTCACTCATTTACAAACTGCTACTGAACTACTGTTAAAAGGCCTCCGCAGTTTTTCGTCTATGATTGGTGGAGTTTGAATCACATGACTTTAATCCAATTCAGACGATGCAATATCCTCCTTAAACCAGCTAATCCAGACTCATGTGATGTGAACTTTGCTCTGTAAATGCAAAGTGAGAAGAATGAGGATTACGCAGTGAGTTTTGCTTTTGCAGTTTCCAAAATGTCACAACAGGTCACTTCGGGGTGAGACCTTTACCAACAGGATATGGTAAATCGTGTAATGTACATGTGGCGATCGACATTAGAGATGAACGCAAGCAGTATGCAAAGGAGAGCTGGAGTTGTTACAAGTATAAATATTTTTTAATTCCTGTCAGCAAATAGGACAGGTAATAAAGTGTATCTAAATACAGTTACAGTTACACGCATGTTCCAACGTCAAATGTGTTTCCTCTGTATTCTAATATTTCAGGATACAGTAAATTGTGTAATGCGA